AGAGGGGCCTGCAGACCTGAGGCTGTGTCAGGGGGCCCTGCTTTCACCTCCTGGGATGGTGAGGGGCTTTAGAGGGGCATGTCCTCCAGCCGGGGACCTTTAGTGTTTGTCTGGGGCTGGCCCTGTCCCTGCCTCCTTTTGTGGTTCCTGGTTCTGCACATTCCAACTGAATTCATTCTGTAACTTGTCTCTGCCTCCCATTGGTGGTGGCTCCTGCCCTCTTCCCCTTCCTGAGCCAGGCCCACTGGGCCGCCAGCTTGAGGACACCGAATGGAGGATGTGGGTCAGCTCCCCTTGGAAGGTCCCTTTCCGCAGGTCCTGATTTCAGCCCAGGGCAGGAGCCCCATGGCCCTGGCCCAGCAGAGCCATCACACGCAGCCACCCCTCAGTGTTCTCCCAGCCAGGCCCGCAGCCTCCCTCTTCCTGGCATCCTCCCTGTCCCCCAGGGACACTGAGGCCAACAGTTCTCTGGGCCCCGCTGGCAGAGACGGATAGCACCTTGTGCAGTGTGCTCTGCGAAAAAGGGTGGGCCTGGGTGGGGAAGAGCTTTCTGGGGAGAGGGAGGAGCCTGGTGGTTCCTGAACCCCAGACCTTCAGTGCCGCCCTGGAGCCTGCCCCAGGCCCCTCTCTCAGACTGTGTGCCAACCCACATCCCTCCCGCAGCCGGCCCCCAACGCCAGCCCCATGAAGTGCTCTATCTCCACACTGGCGCCCCAGCATCCCCACGTGGCTCATCTCTGCAGCACTGCCCTGGAACGTGCCCCAGCCAGCCAGGCTGCACCCCATTACCACCACCGCTGCCATCGCTGCAGGGACAGGAAGCAGAAGTCCTTGGAGAAGGGGCCTAGCCTGTCCGCAGACACAGATGGCGGTGCGTGCGGGGGTCCCTCCTATGGCCAGGGTCTGAAGCATTCCTTTCTGTGCCTGCACCATCCAAACGGCCTGAATAGGGGGCTGTGAGTCCCAGGTCTGGGGACCAGGCAGGATCACTCACGCACCTCATCTCTCCCCCTGGGCCTCCCTGCTGGCCCTGGGTCCGGATTTGGGCTGGGGGTCTGACTCCCTACCTGGCTTGCTGTGCTGACTTCCCCTCTTCCTGGCCAGCACCCAGCAGTGCTGCAGGGCCAGGCCCACCCCCGAGAGAGGGGCCCACAGCCTGCCGGACAGAGCGCAGACAGGAGCGGGGCCGGTCCCAAGAGCGGAGGCAGCCCTCTTCCTCTTTCTCGGAGAAGCAGCGTTTCTACTCCTGTGACCGCTTTGGGGGCCGGGAGCCCTCGCAGCCCAAACCCTCCCTCAGCAGCCACCCCACATCACCAACAGCTGGGCAGGAGCCAGGACCCTCGAGACCAGTAAGACAGGACCCCCCTCACTGCCCCTCCTTACGAGCCCCCCCACCATGCTCCGAATCCTCCTTCATGTCCTGATTCCCAGGCTCGAATCTGCGCTCCCCCCCTCCTTGCTCCATTCCTCCTGCACCAGCCCGATCCTCCCCTCCCAACTGCCTTGGACTGGCCTCTGGTCTCCCTTCTCCCTGAGCTGTGCCTGTCCCTTTGTTACACACTGTTCCCCAACCACCTCCCCAGGCCTACCGGCACCAGCGACTTTCTCCCCTCCACCACACACCCTACCGGTCCCCTCCCAGGGTGCCTGCATCTCTCCATGCCTCACCCCCCACCTCCATGGTTCTCACCTGCATTGGCCTCTGGTCTGGGACTTAGTTTTTTTTTTTCTCTGTTCTACTTTCTTGTAGGGTGGTGGTTCAGTGAATGGGAGCCCCTTGTTGTCAACATCCGGTGCTAGCACCCCTGGCCGTGGTGGGCGGAGGCAGCTCCCCCCGACTTCGCTGACCCCCCGTCCCAGTGTCACCTGCAAGACGGCCAACTCTTCGCCTGTCCACTTTGCTGGGGCACAGACCAGTCTCCCCACCTTTTCCCCAGGCCAGCTTCACCATGGCCTTCCGAACACAACGCTCTGCTCCAGAGAGACCCCCTCAGCCAGCCCCTGGCTGCCGGCTCTAGGTTCAGCTCTGACCCTTACTTGGGACAGCGTCTGGACTGTGAGGACACTGCCCGCACCCAGCCCGAGGACATGCTTACCTTCGAGGAGGCTGCGGTCACCAACTCAAGCCGCTCCTCCCGGACTTCCTGTGTCCTCTCTGACTTCCCAGTCGCACCACCTCTGCTGTGTGCCCAATGGCTACCACTGCACTCTGGGGCTCAGCTCCGGCGGCGAGGTTCGGCAAAGCTACCACCATCCCGACCAAGACCACTGGTGCTAGCCGAACCTCCACCACGCCTGCTCAGTGGGCGCGTTCCAGCCGATGAGTTTTATCATCCATGCTGGGGTCCCAGGGACGCGCAGAGGCACCGAGGCAGGGGTAGCAGCCCCTGGGAGGAGGGGCCCCGCCTTTGGGGCCAGCTGGGGGGAGGCCCTGCGGCTCCCCCCCACCCCCCGCCCCCACCTCCTCTTTCGTGCTGGACCAATTCCTAAAGCCCTTTCGGAGAGGACGTGGCTTTCTGTCCCCTTGTATGCTGCCTGCCTGGGTCTCGTACCACAGACCCTACACAGGAAGTTGCTGCTTGTGTTGAGTGGGACCCTGTCAGTCTGAATCCTGTGTGATGGCTCCCAGCGTCTAGGGTGTGTGCCCAGGCCACTTTTAGGAGGTCTGGATTTGGTAGAGACCATCCTTTATCCACGTGTGTGGTACGGAGCCTGGCATGTTTACACACCTGGCCAGATAAGACAGAGTTGATGGTCAACAGCAGTAGCCTCGGGAGCCCAGCCTGTGGCTCCGTGCATTCTTGCCGGCGCCCACAAACACAAACACATCCAGTGTGGCTCTTTGTACCTGAAACAGCAGGTGGACACCAGAAGTACACTCACACACTCTCTGTCCTCTCCCAGATGCTGTCAACCTTGACAGGGAACAAATCTGGAAAACATTCTTGCTGTTCGTTTTCGTTTTTAATCGAAACACCCTTCCCTCTTTTGTCAATTCCATATACTTGATCTAGAAAGAAGAGAAAAACAGAAAAATGGGGGAAGAAAATAGTAACAGAACTTAAAAAAAATTCCAACGTGTAGGAAGCTCTCAGCTCATTGGTGTGTGTGTGTGTGTGTGTGTGTGTGTGTGTGTGTGTGTGGTGTGTGTGTGTGTGTGTGTGGCTTGTGCGAGGAGATGCTGTTGTGTCCAGCCTGGGTGGCCCCCCAGCTCCCCTGGCTTCTGCTGCTCTCAACCAAGTGCCTGACTTCCGAGCCCTCTTGTGCCAGGCTCCTGGGGGCGATGACGTGAAGCCTGTGTGAAGCGTGGGTGAATCCTTGGAACTGTTTCCAGTTCCAAATATCAACCAAGTAGAAAGCTGGTGTCCATGGAGAACACTCATATAACATCCAGTGGGACGGTTGTAGTTGGAAACGAAGCGACCATTTCCCTGTTTTCCTCCCACGAGTGGAAGGGTTTCCTGGGAAGCCACAGAGCAGTGTAGAGCGTGTCCTTGTATGGGGTGTTTTCAGTCTGTACTACATCTGAATCTCAGGGACGGGATGCCTGCCAAAAAGGGCGTGGTATCTGTTGTCATGAAAGTTTCTTTTCAGATAAGGCCAGAGAGAGGGAAAGGTCGTGGGAAGAGGGAGAGGTGGGGGAGTGGAGTTGGACCCGGCGGGCAGGAGGGAGGGCCTGTGTCTGTGCAGGTGCGGGCACTGGGGAAACCCCGACTGAAATGAGGCCAAAACTCGGAGGAAGCGATGGGGCAAGGAGAAGCTTGGTGACTGAGGCTCAGGTAGGAGCCATCTGAAGCCCAGCACGGTGGCACAAGACATGGGAAAGCAGGAAGCGAAACGGAAATCCAACCTCATGGCCACTGTCAAAAGGGAAACACCGTAGGTAGGAGGCTGTGCATAAAATGCCGGGAGACCCTTTGTTTCATGAAAAAAGGAATATTTAGACGATTAGATTTTGGTGCATCCTCCGTGTTTGGAAATGTCAGATATCTCTTCGCTGGATCATTTGAGTGTTCCCATTGCCGGTTGCCCCATGACTCACCTTAAAGAAACTTGGCCTGTGACGTCTGTGTGCTTTTCTCTATGTGGAGGTGTGTCCCAGTGAGTGGATGTCGTTAACCCATAGGGCAATGCAACAAAAGACACACATTCAATGGAAATAAATCACGTAAGACCACCACCTGTTCTAGGGTTTCAGCATGATTGTGACCAAACCATTTTATAGAATCTCCTTACTGGAAGGCACAGCACTCTGAAACTTTAAGATTACAGAGTATTTTACTTCAATAGGAAATAATAACTTGAATGGTATCTCAGACTCTGCATGAGATAACTCTGTTCCTGTTGCAAAGCAGAAGGATGTGTATTTTGATACTGATGTTTCATCTCTGGCCCATGTTATTGTGAATGTATCCATTCTGTGCAGAACCACAGCTGCTTCCCAGGCCATGTGGGTAGAGAATCGCTGTTCTAGCCCCACACAGCCTCACCAGTCTGTCTGGATTCTTCTAGACACTGGAATTGGTGAAAACTACAGGGAGTGGGGGAAGAGATACTGTGTCATGTTTTCCTGACTTTGGGTTGTTTTCTGGATCGTCTCTTCTCAGCTATCATATGTTTCCACTGAGATCTCATAGTGAGTTGCCAAATTTGAAATGCATTAACCAGTTGTCTGGATCTGGACAGTCAAGCAGTGGCTGTAGTTTGAATAAGTTATGTGTGCATGTAAAATATATACATATATACATATATACGAGTATGTGCATGAAATGTATATCTTCGTACCTTTTGATACAATGTACTCATTTGTTAATTTTTAATTATATTTGATATAAATCAAAGGTTTGTTGCAAAACTTTATATTTAAGAACACTGTTAAAAACAAAACAAAACAAAAAGTAGTCCCAACCATGCAACACAACTGGGACCTGCTTTAAAACAATCCTGTGATTGATGAGTTTGCTGCCTGAGTAATATTGATCACCCAGACTTTGGATTTTGCTATTGTTTCTACAGTGACATTTGGTATGAATCAATTTCCTTGGCTTGAAATAAAACTTAGCAAAAAATCAAAACAAACCCCACCATGCTGCTGGGTGATATATGCAAGAGGTGTGGGAGTCAGCAACCTGTGCGTCCTCAGGAGGCAGGGCCACCTCCATGTGCATGTGGGCAGGAGTGCAGAGCTGAGCAGCCCTGGAGAAAATAACCCCCTAAAACTGATTTGGGCCTGTTCATGATGCAAGTGTGGATCCGCCTGAGAATCTGGGTGGGTTGGGGTGAGGGTCATGGGCTGGGGTCAGGGCCAGGGTCTGGATCGGGGTTAGGTTTAAGCATAATTGGCTTTCTTCCCCCTCCTCCATCTCCCTGGGCCTCCAGGGTAGAGAGGACTCACCCAGGGTCACACACGAGTCAGAGGTGAGCTGAAGCATTGGTTTTCTGCCCTTGACTCCTGGGCTCAGACAGAAGAAAAGTGAAATGTCCACCTGATTCCTGACGGTTTGAGATCCAACTCCTCCCCAGTCAAGGGTTATAGGGGGCCTCAGAGGTTATACAGGGTTCTTCCGCCCTCCCACCTGGGAAGGGTGCTGCTGGCCCCACTCTGCCTGGGCAGCCGCAACTTCCAGCACGGCCCCACCCCACGAGGGCACTCTGTAGACACGAATGGATTCATATAGGACTGACTGCTGTTGCCTCCCCGCCCCCATGTACAGCCTTCTTGCGGGCTGTTGGGACCCCCTCCCCCCGCGGCGCTGGCTAGATCCTTCATTCCATCTGAGTGATCGGCAGGAAACAGGCAGTAGACAGGACAGCCCTTGTCCTCTGACCATCCAGGGAGGCATCTTTGGCCCTCCAGCTCAGGCCAGAAAGGGTCCTGACAACCCCCACAGCCATTACTGAGCTGACTGTGTGCTCCTGGCAGTGTAACAGGCCCATGGGCAGTGTAGACAGCCCCACAGGATGTTTCCATTCCCAACATCTGTGTGGTTGAGACAAGTGCTTCCTCCTTCACAGTCCCTTAACCCTCCAAATGTTGGATGTGGCCCTGACCACAACAGCCATACAGCCATACAGCAGACTGACCCTGCAGTCCTTTGGCCTCCCAATTGTGATGTAAACCTTTGACATACGTATTTGCTAAGAATTAAGGTTATGGGAGTAACTGTGTCTCCCAGCAGGCAGTTTCTCAGTGAGGCTGCCTGGTTTCAGAGAGTCACATGCATGATTCAGGGACTGTGGGCCCCAGAAAGTCTGCCATGTGTGGATTTGTGGTGTGGAATAATCCTTGAGCCTCCCACTATTTCAATGAGCGATACTTTCCTTATCATACTCACATTTGCCCTCTGTTCTTCATAAAGGAGAGAGAAGAGACTGGAGAATGGCCAGTTTGTTCTTTGGGGAGGAGCGATTAATGTGGGGGTCAGGTGTGAGTCCGGGGCTCCTTCCTCCCAGGGAGAAGAGTGAGGTCTGTGTGCCTTCCAGTCTCTGAGATGCGAGGATACAATATCCAAGGCAGGAGCCTTGAGTTTCCTGCCAACAGCAAAGTTGCTTCTTCAGCAAGTGGGAGAGCGCCTTGCCGTCATGGGAAAACAGCAAGAGCACTGGATGGGTGGCTTCAGTCCGTGACCCTAACTAAGTGACCCCTTCCTTCCTTGGGCTTCAGATCCAAAGCCGTGCAGTCAGTCACCAGTGATGCGGAATCTGCTGCTTTCCCAGCCTGGCATCTCTTCTCACGTCCAATTCCAGCACCTCAGCTTGCCTTTGGGAACCCCATGTCACCTGCCTACCATCCAGACAGTTCCAGAGGGCAGGCCCCACTTTCCACCCACTTCAGAGATGGGTGTATGATCCAAGTTTACC